GCGCGGGCCGGCCGCCCAGGGCGGCCAGCAGTGTGGCCATACTCTTGAGCAGCGTGGAGATCTTGCTGCACCAGGCGGGCAGGCTGGGCGCGCGGCCGTGCATGCGGCGCGGGTCGACCGTGAAGCGCGGCGGCGCCGACAGGGCGGCCGAGACGGGCAGCAGCTGCTCCAGCTCCAGCTCCAGCTGCTCCAGGCGCGCCTCCAGCTTCTGCGCCTTGTGCAGCACCTGCAGGTTCTCGATTTGCTGCTCGATGCGGAGGATGTCGGCCTCGGTCATGAGCTCCCCGAAGGGCCCGAGGAGGCCGTTGTGCTCGCGGGAGTACCTCCAGCCCTCGCGGGGGTAGCAGCAGGAGCTGGCGGCCGTCAGCTAAGGCGGGAAGACAAGAGAAGGGAGGAGGCGCGTCTCCCACTGGCCCGGTGAGGCCGCCAGGGCGCCCTGCGCATATCCTGGGTGGTGTAATGGCTCCGGCAGCTTTTGCAGGGACGATCCTCGCCTGGCTGGCTGGCGGGGATTGCGATGAAACTAGACTTCGGCCCAGTTCCGGGCGCTGGGCTGTGTCCACTCGGGTCGCTGGCAGGGACACAGCAGCGGATGGGCGCTGCCGGAGAGGCAGGATGGCGGACTGGTCTCCACACCTGGCTTGGTTGCTCATTACACCACCAGAGGATCTGCAGAAGGCACTGCGCTGCCTGCCGCGCCTGGCCCTCTCCCTCCCCATGGCGCCTGCCGGCCCCAGGCGATCGCTGATCTCGCAAGTGATGGCTGGCAGCCCAGGCAGACCCCTCTCCAGCTCCCAGACCCCCTCCACTGTCAGCTTAGTGTGCGCAGGAACTCCGGGCTCACCCCTGGGAAACAGTAACAGTTTAAAGCACCAGACTGCAGTGCTGGGGGGAGGGGGTCCGTGCTCCCACTTGCCTCTACCCCCCTGCTCCGCTGCTTTAGCCAGCCTGGGGCTGCCCTCACCTCCTCACCGCTCCCAGCTCACCATGACCCACTACACTGGTCCCCACATACAAAGATGATGATGCTACATCCCGCTTCCCGCACAGCCCCATGCTCCCACAGAAGGTTCATGTCCATTTTCCTCCAGAAAACTGGCCAGGCCTTGGTGACAAGACCCCCATTGACCACCACTGTCCACTCTGACCCAAAGCCACACTCAGGTGCCTTTGCCCCGTGGGTCTTTGTCTCCCCCTCCCAGTCCTTCCCTAACACTTGCCATAGGCCGCAGGCGGGGGGGGGGGGGGGGGGGCGGCTGCTTAGCCTAGGGCCTCTGCCCCCCCAGGCCTCCGCCCCCCCAGGCCTCAGCCCTCCTGCGGTCCTATGGCCTTCCTAAGCAGCCCGTTTATTATCTGGGGGCCGTGCTCTCCTAAGGTGCTGTGTTTGGTCGTTCTCTGCCTGCCCCCTGCACTTTGCCAGCAGCCCCCCCCCACACACACAGCTTCAGCGTGACCCCCTGAAGCCACAAGAGTATTGGGGAGACAATGCTCAGAGCAGGGCGGTGAGTGGACCTAGGGCAAACCCCTCCGCCAGCGCGTGCGCTGACCCCATCTGACCCTGGAAACAGGCCTGGACTCCCAGTCCGGGAGTGGCCATGCCAGGCCCTCCAGGGCACCCAGACTGTGGCCCTGGCCCACCAACAGCCTCAGTCAGTCAGAAGCTGGGTGCGAGGGGAGATCGCGGCCGCAGCTCCTGAGCCAGAGTGGACATTTGTGTTGTTGGGATGTTTGTTTACTCGGTGC